ATTCCCTAGAAAAAATTTTTTGTTCCCATTCCCACCAGAGATGTCCATCGCGGCTGAAAATCTGCCGCTGCCGCGCCGCGGCCTTAGAAAAAAAAAGCTGCCGCACCGCTGCCGCGCCGCGGCGGTTTATAAAAAAATGTTGCGGCGACGCTGCCGCACCGCGATGACTTATAAAAGAAACGCTGCCGCGCCGCTGCCGCGACGATTTTCAAAAAAGTGTTTCTAATTTCACTGCTGTGACTATATTTGACCAGAGATATGGGTACTAGTCCATCAGATTTATTCAATATCAGGGCGTTTCATTTGTAAATCGTGAAATTCTATTAAATTCATACAGTTTTTCAATGTCCTCCAAAAAAATCCTGCCGCTGCCGCGATGGTTTTTTAAAAAACCTGCCGCTACCGCGCCGCTGCCGCGATGACTTTTAAAAAAATCTGCCGCTACCGCGCCGCTGCCGCGGTGATTTTTTTTAAAAACCTGCCGCTGCCGCGCCGCCACCACCACCGCGGCAGCGGCAGCGGCGCGGCAGCGGCGCGGCAGCGGCGCGGCAGCGCCGCGATGGACATCTCTGATTCCCACGTTCCCATTCCCATAGTTCCCATAAGATTTTCTAAGGCTCTGTTCATCTATGCGAAAGTGTCATTGGCATATATGTATACCAGTTTCTCGCAACATCACGTTTTGCGCATCGCGACGCTGTTACATAATGCTTCACTTATTTTCTTTTTCTGTTTTGTTGTGCTTGTTGGCATTGGTTAAGCAGGTGTCCCTGCATATATGCACGATACATTCAAGCTGGTGTGCTTTTTCCTTAAAAAAGTGTTCCACTGTGTAATTAGAAAATGTATAGTCCAACATAGTGTTCATCATATAGAGAGAATGTTCCTCTTATAGTAAAGTGTTCCCCTCCCCTCACCCAAATAGAAAATTAAAAAAATTATAGATAAATATTGAGATTATTTATTGATAAATCGTTTGTTTTTTTTGTTGTAAATAACCTTAATATTTATTTATAGTTTTTTATTTATTTTCTATTTGAGGGAAGGAAGAGAAAATAATGATGTATCGCAACATGATCTTGGTAATGTCATTTTCGAAGTCGATGATGAAAAAGAAAATAATATTTGTGATGATTAAATTACGATGTGATTAAGAATAAATCAATAGTCTATTTTTTGTTGATACACATTTGTTATTTTTTTGTTAATTGTATATGAATAAGAAAAGTTATTGAAAATAAACAGTTATCAGATAGAAATATTTCTATATGTATTGTAATAAGATAAAAAGAATTTTGGGAACGTCAATTTTTAATTCTGTTCCCTTTCCCATGTTCCCATTCCCTAAGTCTAAATGAGAATTCCCATTCCCATCTTCCCATTCCCTAAGTCTAAATGGGAATTCCCATTCCCATTCCCATTCCCATGGGAATGGGAAAATTAGGGAAAAATGTCGTTCCCGCAGGACACTACTAGATACCCATTCAGATACACGTGTCCAGTTTTTATAGCTGTCTATGAAAAACTTTTCAACAAGTCAGTAGATTAAACACTTAGAGGCACTTTGTAGTCAAATGCTAAAAAAAACCATACAATAGTGTCTCAAGGATAGCAGGGTGCTGCAGCTTCAGTATATTCACAAGCGATTATTCTCTTAACTCATATTTTACTCTTTAGAATGCTTCGACAAATGGATTTTTAAGAATGAAAAGATATATACAAGTTTGAATGAGAAACATAAGACTTGAATGTTATCTCTATATAGTGAACACGTTTCTCAAACACCTGAATCTGTTGGCTAATATCATGATATTCAACTTTCATTTCTTATTTAACTACGGTTTTTTCGTCTAATTATCCGTTGATAAAGTCTCTCAGGACATTACACGATTAATCAAATACAGTTTGGGTCTCTGAGGCCGCTAGAGCTCATTTGATTTTTATTGTCAACTGCCTAATAGTGGTGTAACCAGGATTTTGATCTAGAAGAAGCTGAGCTCCATACTCATCGACCAAATTTTGTCTGTAGTAGTACACGACTTTTTTGAATGCTTTCAAACTCAATGCAGTGTTTTGCGCGCATAGATTCTATTGAATCACTTATTGCTTATGAAATTTTTTAAATATAAATCAGCATATGATCAACTTTTATTTTAAATTTATTTCATAATAACTTAATCATATTAACATGATTCTACTGTTTTTGTAGTGTTTAGCAAATACATCGGCAACTTTTTCCAAATCTATTTCGAACTGTCTTTCTATAGCTAACACACTAAGATTACTAAGTCTTCCATCACCCATAGAATCCCGAGCATAATTTTTAATCAAGTTCATTTTGGAGAAGACTGCTCACAAGCGACAGATGTCACAGGAAATGTGACAGTACCTTTGATCAAAGCAGTAGCTGAAGGAAATGCCTGTTTCATTGGCTTTAATGCATTGAGAAGATCTAACAAAAATAGGCAAGTGGCTTTGTAAACTTATGGTATATCAGATGTCGCAATAATTTTGCAATATTTTGTGTTTTGCATATATCTCAGTTCAGACAAAAGATAAAATCTTGCATTTAATTTTGAAAACTGTGCAGTCGAACTTTCTATAAACTTGTATTTAGTTTCATTTGAAATAATAGAACTCAACTTTTTTATGAGTCAAATAATATGATTATATGAATTGTATCTATTTCTCACAAGTATTTGTCTTCAATTATTTTTTCCGTGTGAATGAATATTTTGCTTTCTAAAATAAAGTAGACTGTCACATGGCTCTCAAAAGGTTCGATCGATCACTTATATAATTAACATTCAGTCTTTCTATTAGACAGAATTTTTCGCAAAGCTATATTTTGAGAATCGAAAATTTCCTACTCAATTATGTCTTTCGGGAAAAGTACCTCTTAAAAACGAGACCGTTGACCGAATCGAGTTCATTTTTGTCGCACTTTGTAAGAAACGGACTTTTCTCTGTACGAGAAGCTCAAATAGCATTTTTTATATAACAATTCAATCGGTAGAAGAATCTAAATATTGCTAAGAATGATATTTTGGCAGTAGCATATCTAACAGATCATTTGGATTAGACCCACATAGATTATAATTGAACGCAGGCAACTTATTCTGAAAGGGCATTACTATCTGATAGTATTGTTGATAATTAGTTTTTTAAACACTTGTTTATAACATGAGTTAAAAAGAAAATATATAGTCGAAAAAATGCGTGGGAAGTAGGTGCAATTCATATAATCATACTACCTGACTCATAAAAATGTTGAGTTCTATTATTTCAAATTAAACTAAATATAAGTTTGTCGAGAATTCAGTTACATATCTTCCAAAATTAAATTCAAGATTTTATCTTTTCTCTGAACTGAGCTAAATGCAAATCACAACATATTGCAAAACTTTTGTGTCACCCGGTATGCACTTCAACTTTTTAGTGGCGTAAGTCTAATAATCTGAACGCAGTTGAAGTTTCGTACGAGCAGCTCGACTACCGTCAACTCCCCCGGTAGTTCCGCCACTACGTATAGTTACGATCAAATCATAAATAATTAGTTGCCAGTTACAGAGAGTCATAATTAATAACATAAAAATACTTTCACCAAAGATAGAAACCTTATGGTTTTCATTTTTGTATAATTGTTTGGGTAGAAATATCAAGATAGTAAACTAGAAATATTCATGATTTCTTATATGTGAATGATTCGTTTTCTCTCCAAACATATATGAACATATTGAATTAGTCGAATTTTTTTACCATCAAGGTGTCTTTTGATAAATGAAGTTCTTAGTCAGTTCATGAAATAAGTTAAATGCGTTCATCTCGATGATACATGATATTGTACATGAAAAATTTCATGAACTTAGTATATAAAATTTGTTGAATTAATCTACTGAACAATAGAGTAGTATTGTTTTTTCACTCGTTCTATAAAACATCTGTTTCCCCATCAATGTTGCACAAAAACTTCTGTTATGCTCAATTAATTACATTTGAGACTTTGACTGAATCTTCTTGTTTGATATAGTGAATATGTAGAGTAAGAGAACCATACTCATACAACAAGAAATAATTTCGTTTGAAGAAAAAGTGATTGACATAAATTAAGATGAATATTTATTTGCCGAAGACGATCACTTTCGTATGGGAGTGACCTGTTTGGCCGAATATTGCAATTTTTCTTATTGCACAGTTTCTATAATATATTACAAAAATATGATTTTTTTAAAATAATCACAGTACTTGTATAGCGTTGATGATTTGTTACGCGCTGGATTATATATCTTGTTCGAAACCGAAATAGCCAAGCATCTTCGTAAAATATTTTACTGAAACGTATTTTTATTGAACTTATTCGTTTATTGTAATTGGTTTTTATCATTTGAAAGATTTTATGAAAGCATTCGATTGTTTTGCTTTCAGACAATATATAGAATCATAACAATAAGAAATGAACAGTGTTATATGAATATTGAAGCTAGTGACAAAACTATTTCTATTCGATACATCATAGAAGCCGCATGTAAAACGAAGAATTCGAGTATTCGACGAGACTACTCAACCTCTTATATATTCAAATACATGTCAACTATAATTCTACAGCATAAAATCTATTTTTTTATATTAAGATCTTCAGCATAATTAAAAAATTAAATAAAATTGAACACCATTTTTCAATCAACGCTGTTAATCGAAGGGTGATAATTTAATCAATACTGGAATATATCAAATAAAACAAATCAATCTACGAAAATATTTATATTAAAGACACATAAATAATTGCCATTTACTTCAAATTCAAAATGGACACAGCTCAAGGTTAAATAATATGGTTGAATTCGATGCAGTTAATGTTTTCATAAAATATTCTCGATACATATGAAATAAATTTGAAAAAAGGACATCATTGATTGGTAATAAACATGCATGATCTTGTGATATCTATATAAAAATAAATCAGCATTGCCATTGCACTTATCAATAATATTAGGAAAATTCTAATAGATTTTAACGTTTTCTCGAAGACAAATATTCACATAACTTACATTCATCGGTGATGACATTTCAGATAACAAAAGATGATTGTTATTGATAATCTCGCTCATATTTCCATGTTCTATTAAATAACGTCGAATACGTTCTTTACGCATTCCTTGTTGAAAACACTTTTGTAAACGACATGATGAACAAAAACGTCGTGTTTCTTTTGTAATTTCACATGAATTTTTGAAACGACATTTGGAAAGAACCTTTTCCATAACAACAACATAGAAAAAAACAGAGTTAATACATTATAAAATTTCTAGATTTACTTTGTTCTTTAAAGCATTACGTCGAAAAAATACTAGAAGAAAACAAAAAAAGAAATAATCCATGATTTATTGGAAAATGTCTAAAACATAAAGTTTATTTTTTTTGTTATGATATAGATACTGACCTTTGCATGACAGACATGTATTAGCTCCAAAATTACGTCCTATGAAAAATGACTCATATAAGAAAGATTTACAAAAATCAAATATTCATACCTATGGCTTGTGCATTACATACTACACATAGATCTAATGTTTTTATTCGAGATTTACTACAAGTTGTTGTATCATTCATATTAATTGACTTATTGCTTAAATTCTAACACTTGAATGTGAAAAGAAACCTTCTTTGTGTAAGATTTCTATGACATTTTTCCTTTTCTCTTTTACTCAATTTCCTCATTTCTCGTGCTAACAACCTGGTAACATTTAAATATGTTTTTTCTAATGCTATAATCTAAAATACTAGTAGAAAATAAAAACCAATGCAATACTCAGTTTCGAGGATGATTATGTTTAACTTTGAGTAGAAAATAATTTGTCATGAGACTAATTATAATTGCATTTTGATACGTTTTAACATTGTTTATTAATAACTTTGATGATAGTAGATTATAGAAAATTTCTTTATTAATATTGTCTAGAAAAATGCTAAAAACCAGTTTGTAATATGAACATAAGATATATTTTCTAATTTGTTTTTTATTAATTTTTTTTTTCATATAAAAATTTTGAACAAATGTATCGAATAAATCTATATTTCATACCATTCTCAATCTGGCCTATTCGTAGGATATTGGTTTTGAATATTGAGAATATCTCAAAACGTGAAAGTCTATTGCTTCTTAAATTGTCAATGAATGATAAGCTAAATATTAACGAATAATCTATTTTAGTTGCATATGTTTAATATCATCTGAATAGTTTATATTGTTAAAGATACATTTTTAGTAGAGACTAAGTTCATCAAATGGACGTTCAAAGTAAATAAATAGTGTCATATTAACGTTGAAAACCGATACAGATGATAGGATCTTGAAATATTTTTAGGTACAAACCGATTGTATATGAAAATTGTGGTATCATAGAATCAAATACATCAATTTTTTAAAAGTTAGTTGTAGGCGATTCATATCACAAATGTACTTGAATAAATTATTTTAATTTCATAGCTAAAAGTATTTATATTATCAATCGAATATAATTTTTCTATGGTTTCAAAAAAAAAAATTAAAATATTAATTTTAACCAATGTAAAGTCTGATAAGCATGAACTGATGAAATATTAATGAAATTTTTTATTATTATAATACATTTGAATGTGTTTATTCAGTAATAAACAAATGAACATTCATTGATGTGAGAATGATACGAAGAAAACTGAGTTGATTATTATCCTTTTATCATTCACACACGATAAACTTCATATCTAAATCAGACATAAATGAATAGACCGGAAAAACTTGCTTTGTTCTTTATCATTTTATGAAGCATAAGCATCGTATTTTTTGTTGGCATTTTCTCATGTAAAAATAGGAGCTTTTTTTCAGGTTACAATCTTTTACAGTTGTAATCAAAACCTAATATTTTGTCTCTAATTATATCTTATTTTCGACTATCGAGAATTCTTCTGTTTTGTATAAAAAGAAATAAATTTATTATCACTAATAAATAATGCAATTGTACTCAAAAGTGAACTTAGTTTTAAAAATAATGAAATTCTTCATATGATATATATTTTATTCTCAAACTGACTTGAATTAAATAATGTTATGATTTTCAAATAAAAAGTCATAAAGAATCAGTTTCTGATTCCACAGTTCTTCATCTATTTTATTGTACTATTATCCATGAAATGATGAGAGTAATTAAGATTGACATATCAATATGAATATGCAAGCAGAGCAAAGTTCTATATATATTTTTTTAATTTGTGAGAGATAACTGAAATTTAGCTTCTGTAAAATAAAAAATTACCAAGAGTATCATGAAATACTTTTTTTTCCGGTAGAATTTTTCATGTCGTGATGATGATTAGAGGAGAACAATGAATATATTAGGAAAATGCATTACATAGATTAACTAATGTTCTCATTTCATGTGTGTTAAATAGTGTAAAAATATTATTTATGCAATATTAATACGGACCCGTCGGATACCTAGATTTGTTTATAGTGATAAATCAGGTTTCAAATTAATTCATATCTTTCGTTTTTTTTTCTTTCTCTTTAATCGAAGATAGTTATTTGATTCCAATACAATACGTACTCTTTAATGAAACAAAAGTTTTTCATTGTTTTTTTGTGATATTAGATCTATGATGATGCAATGGCTGAAATAAAGCATAAAAACAGAAATCGACAAATGAAAGATATGAGAATAAGAAACAAATTGGTAGGTAAATCTTAAAATGCCAAGGTGAGAACAATCCAAAAGTAAGATTCATAATAGATTCTGACACATTCCTATAGGATCTTATCATTGGATTGCTTGTCTTGGGTCATTTCTGCAAATTTACATTAAAACTTAAACTAAGTTGCATATTGGATTCAACAATATTTTCTTGTCTGATCATAAAAAATCATATTATTGAATTTTATTGTATTGCTTTATCCTTTTACACTAATTCTTATAGCTTAGAACTTTCGTTTTTAGAAGTTATTCAAGCATTTGTTTCAATTTACTTCGACTCTATATATTACTTTTTAATACTATGAACATACATATCTAATCAATATTTATGTTTGTTCTTGCATGATTTGTTATAGTTATATCCTTAGTAAATTTGTAGTCGGGTGAAAAAGGATCAGACGTAGGGTTCCATAGCATCAGATGGAATCATACGAAAAGTCGTAGTGTCTAAAATTTTACGCTAAATCATATTATAAAAATTCTTGAAAGGCCTGACGGTCACATAAGATTTCTAATAATCTTATAGTGATATTTTACAAGGCAGCAATATCTTTCAAGAACCTCATAATACAACTTAGCATAAGATGTTATAACTTTCTTATAGTTTTTTTCTGATCTTACAAGATCATAAGTGATCAAAGATACGATATTATACGATTTTACTATTGTTATTGTTGGACCAGCCATTGTAATAAAAAGTTATCTGAAAAATTGATTGTGAATCAATTATAATCAATGTAAACTACACAAAATTGGATTAAAATTCTACCGCTTATTATCACACACAATTACTTTGAAATGGTATTGTGCACGATTTTAAATGGGTTTTAACCAAAAATAGTGAAAACAATCGATGAAGTTTTGATATTTTTGATTATTGGTTAATTGTAATCGATTAAACATCGGTTTTTTTGTGAGATTTTTATGAAGTATTTTTTACTTACATAATTGTGTATAGTATTACTGTTTCACTACAATACTATCCTTCAAAGTCTGGCTCTTTGGTCGTGTCTCTTTACTATTATGTACCATTATTTAGTGTTACTTATCTATGTCGTAGTCGATAGATGTTGATTCGGTAAAACTTTTGTGCAGTACGATCTAAAAGGTGGGCACAGTATGGAAATAGACATTAAAACTTAGCTTCCCTCTGCTTGTCACAGACGTGGCAGACAGATTAGCAATGGTTCATCACAAATATGAGACACGCCTTAGCAACGCTCTTTCACCGAGCATCACAGATCGTATATGAATAACGTCTGGTTATAATATATGAACTAATTCCTTATCGTAGTACTTGAGGATCAAGTAAAAGAATAGTGAAGAAATGTGTCCCAAAATAGAACAAATAAAATAATCTCCTTGTGATGAACAACAGCAGCTACATTGTGTCTTACATCTTAGTCTCACAGAAATTGCGCTAATAGCACTAATATGTTGGTTTTGGTTTGTTTGATAATCAATTAAATATTCTTTTCTTTTCGGTTTAAAATATAGGATATAAAACTAAGTGAAATCTTCAATTTTTCAACTAATTCGACTTGTGATGAACTATTATTATCGTTTTAATCATTGATTAAGTGAATCTTTTCATCTACTGTAAGATGATACTATGATGTCATTGCTATTCCTGATATGTACAATTATAATAAACAATGAATTATGGTTTTAGTGTATCATCCAGATATGTGGAATAAGAGTGGCAATAAAAAGTTCACATGTGTTCATTTGCATGAGGTCAAAATAGCAGTTGGAACCGTAAATACAATATTCAAGATCAGAGTGGGAAAAAGAAGCATAGTTAGGAATTTTCCAAAAGGCGTGCCTGACTTCTTATAGGGCAGAGTGCACACCAACAGAAACTAATTTTATGTTTCGGAAAAAGATTTCTATCTGTACTCTTATCGAGATGATGTTTGACTCCAGGGGTTTAAAAACACCTCTTTCATTTCTCTCCCTCCTGGCTAGGTCTCTGGTAGAAAGGTATCCATCTATGAGAAATATTCAATAGTAAAGATTTCATTGTATTTGAAATTTTGATTTCGAAATATATCAGGAGATAAAGGCTTAATACAATCAGTTAGGTACATGATTATTCCTGATATCTACTCATCATTACTTTTCATGATTTTGTCCACTAATTATCAATACATATCGGTTAAAAACATAACGTTGTCGATATTTTGATTATAAAAATAATGAATCGAATTCTACGCCTCGTGTAAATTATTATTCTGTAATTCAAATTCTCAAAAGAGCAAGATCAATGTGCAAAAATTGGTTGAAATTTTTTAAAATATAAAATATATTCAAATAACACATAACAAGTTTCTATTTGGACACTAATATTAACTAAATAAAATTCTAAAGGAAGTACAAAGCAAAAAAAAACGAAAGCAACGCTATACTGTACCAGATAATAAAAAACATAAAAAACTAATAACTATTCGATTAAATAACATAACACTAGTACATGTATATATAATAAATTTATTCTAATTTTACGATCATACTTTTTAAGGACTATTAAATAGAGTGAAAACTACATCCGATTATTATATTTCTAACTATATGTTAAATAATTTTTACAATCATATTTTACAACTTGTGACGTATCTTTCTCATTAAGCGGTACCTTTTTTCAACAACACGTAGGCATACAAGGCATGTGCAGTAACATCATATGAAAAAATCATGATAAATGAAAATGATAATTTTTTTGGGTCTCCATCCACATTTATTTTCTTACCTTGTGTGTTTTGTACATTTTTCTTTCGTTCGTTTTCACCTTAAATTACTTTTATAAACAACATTATTTCTTACGCCTACTAGATCATTTTTTTCACGAGTATCGAGTTTTCCTGCTTTTCGTATTACACCAAT